AGTTTCCGTGAGCCAGTAATAATAGATGAGTTTAAAATAATGGAATTTCCGTGACATCTATTATTACTGGCGGTTTGAAATAATGGAGTTTCCGTGACATCTATTATTACTGGCAGTTTAAAATAATGGAGTTTCCGTGACATCAGTTATTACTGGCAGTTAGTTTAGTAAAGGAAGTTTTTGTGTCATTTTCCTTGTTGTTTCATAACTAAACAAAAGAGTTGTATATTCCATCTCCTCCACCCTAGTGGCACAGCGGTATGTCTATGGACTTACAACGTTAAAAACCGGGGTTCGATACACGTGGTAGGCATAGTATGGATAGACCATTGTTTAGCTTTGTAGCTTCAAACAAATAATCATAAGCTATCTAATAAAAAATTCTAAAACTAATACATATACGTGTCTATAAACAGAGCTTTTAATTTGGAACTTTATCTAAATGTAAGTATCTATATATACAATACAGATGTGAAATGGTGCTTTTTGTACACACAGATAAATGTTTTTCCATGAATTAGCAATAATTTTATTCGATTTATGGATAATAGTAAGTAAAAATAAACCAGCGTTTCGGGTGGGCGGCTTAAAGGAAATTTGTATTTCTTTGTTTCAGAATTTTCGCTCAACGTTGCGGTAGGCTATCCATGTTAGCCGTCCCTCATTTCGAAGTGCTAGACTAGAGAGAACGCAACTAGTCAATACCACTTACCACTATCAGTTCTTTCCTACTGAAAATAATAACAACAAAGTCAGAGTAGCAACTTAGGAGACCCGTTAATGGATAGGATACAGCTTTTTTGTCAGTCACATTACAAAAGTGCACCGGTAACTATGCAACTTAGCATTTGCTTCTTTTGGTTGTTTGCTGCTACTTGAGAAAATGGTACTCACTATCTATCTGCTGACTGTTTCTAATTTGGAACTAATAGACTTGATGGAAAGCAGCTAGTCAACAGCGCTCATCGCCAACTCTTGAGTTACTCTTTCTTGTCTGACTGAATAGTGTGATGCACCCACGGCCCTAAAATGGGAACGGGACATGAACAATGGATCATGTGATCCAAAGTCTGACAAGCTAACCATTGAGTCGCAAGTTAGTGTGACTTAGTTTTGTAAATTTTAATCATTTAATAGAATGATAACCATCTACGGTTATGTATGTACCATAAATATACCTTAATTAACATTGCTAAACTGACAAACCTAATTATCTGCTGCCAGTCAGAAATTCAAGCACCCATGCAAATTAATTTGCTCAAAGGGTCATGATGAACCAAAAACAAGACAAAAAAAGAAGTAAGTGAAAAGTAAACAGATAAATGTACCAGAAGGTAAATTCTACTTGAGTGACTACTATAAAAAACTGTCCGCATATATTGCAAAATAAATTAGGATTTTTTTTTCCTTTCAAAAGAAAAAAGATCCC